TGGTGGTGGTGGTAGTGGTGGTGGTGGTAGGTGGTGGTGGTAGTGGTGGTAGTAGTGGTGGTAGTGGTGGTGGTAGTAGTAGTAGTAGTGGTGGTGGTGGTGGTAGTAGTAGTAGTAGCATCAATTACTTGACTGGTCATTTAGTTGATTGGCAGGAAACTGTTTTGCACGTCTGGTTAGTTTTCTTAATTCTTCTACTCCATTCCATGTCATGTTATACTGTTTACTCCACTAGATTTGACTCTCAGCTATACAAAAAATACTTTATTAAATGAGCCCTATTATGCTTTTTGGGGTTTTCCCTTTCCTGTAGTGTATTCTATAGGTTTTAGTGCAATGGTCTGCAGAGGCTAAAATACCTGCTTTTATATGAAGAATAACTGCGTTTACAGTTTATTTTTGCAGTACATTTCCCTGAAGCTGAATGCTTTATTTTCGTTGTTGTAATGGTGTGTTTACTCAAGTAGAAAATCTGTGTTTTCCTGATAATATTATAGGTGTAAAAGAGGTCCGTGTGCACTTTGAAGCAATGCTGGTTGAGATGATGCAGCCTTGTTACATCAACAACACAATTTTCCCATTTTCTGTTCCCATAATCATACATTCCCATTTTATATATTTGGGTGTTGTGTTCTGGGAAACCTGTATTCGTAATAAACACATTTCATACAGAAAGGTTTCAGGAGTTATTGTGGAGCACCGTGATGGGGTAGGAGGAGTTAGGGATGGGAACGATCAATCGAATATTCGAAATTATTCAGGTATTCAAATATGAGATTATGAGTTATGAATATTTTTATTGTAATCTTTTTTCTTTTGGGAGGGGTGCCTAAGTTGATTACATATGATCAAATGGAATAATTCAATGTATACGACAGTGCCATAGCTAAGTGTGTTAGGTCTAAAGGTGTGTTTTGCTCCGCTCACCGGTCCCTCACAGCGGCAGAGCTGCAGGTGCTGATCTCTCTCTCGCGTCCGGTTATACTTCACTCGCGTTTATGTACAAATCCATCAGATCTAGTTAGTTCTAGCTAATAATATGGCTGCTGCCCCTCCCTACACGCAGATCACGCAGACTCAAACCTCATCTTATGCCCACATTCCAGCTGAGAGGGTCTTCTCTACAGCTGGCCTGATTGTGAATCGCCTCCGCACCCGCCTCTCCCCGGAGTAGACATGCTCATATTCTTAAATGAAGAATGAGTATTGAATAGCTGCATTCTGTGCATAGGCCCTGTTATAGGTTGTTGATCTCTGTTGTCACGGGTTACGTTACCCTAACCCGTTATGTTGTTTGTGTTTGATCCCTTTTTTCATTTAAAAACCAAGTTATGTTTTAAGCATGAAAGCTGCAGGCCTATAGCTGTCAACTGTTCAAACTGTGATCACCAGTTCAATACATTTGACAAATTCGACTTGGTTTCTATACTTATTTGAACATGGATTTATTTTTCAAAATATATATTTTTTTTTTCTACAAATCTAAATATATGTTTATAAACAATCAGGCTTTCTGACGTTTGCTCCATTTTAAAATACAAGATAAAAAGAGTAAAAGTATGAAAAACATCTGAAGTTCAAGTTAAAACGTGCAAAACTTTTGCTTGAAATGTAGCACACAGGTTTTTTCTAGAAAGATATAGGCCCAATCCCAAACCGACCCCTAAACCCTACCCCCACACACTACCCCTCCGTTTGTACGTTCGCGCGGAGGGTCCGCCATATTTAGGGCTGTTCCAAACCAACGAGAGTGGAGCGGTGTGGAGGGGGAGTGGGCTATCAAGCCCTCAAACAGCGAGTCTGCATCGGTGGTGACTTGAGACCGGTCTCTACCTGACCGGAGTCACGCTGTGTGTGTCTGTCAGGAAACAAGCTGTTAACAAGTAGTTCCAGCAAACATCTACTGATAAACTGCGATGTTAACAACCTCATGATGACCTCATATGTTTTAACTTAGGATCAAACCTGTGTTTAGTCTAGAAAAAGGTAAATGTGTGCATTTTATTATAAAGTTGTGTATATTTACAGATTGTTGCAAAAACAAGAAGCTTATAAACATCAGGTTTAAAACTGGGGGTTTCTCCATTAACTGGGGGTTTTCTCCATTAACTGGGGGGTTTCTCCATTAACTGGGGGGTTTCTCCCATTAACTGGGGGTTTCTCCATTAACTGGGGGTTTCTCCCATTAACTGGGGGGTTTCTCCATTAACTGGGGGGTTTCTCCATTAACTGGGGGGTTTCTCCCATTAACTGGGGGGTTTCTCCCATTAACTGGGGGGTTTCTCCATTAACTGGGGGTTTCTCCATTAACTGGGGGTTTCTCCATTAACTGGGGGGTTTCTCCATTAACTGGGGTTTCTCCACTAACTGGGGGGTTTCTCCATTAACTGGGGGTTTCTCCATTAACTGGGGGGTTTCTCCCATTAACTGGGGGGTTTTTCCATTAACTGGGGGGTTTCTCCATTAACTGGGGTTTCCTCCCATTAACTGGGGGGTTCCTCCCATTAACAAATCCACTGAAACAAATGTAGAATGTGTGATATTGGGCTTTATAAATACACTCTGATTGCTTTCCTTGGTATCACAGGTTGTTGTTGGATTGTTGCACACGGTGTCATCACGGTTGTGTTGCTCATCCAATCATTGTGAACTGTCTGAATCTACTAGGGGTCACGTCCATCGTCTTCATTCACTGCATAATTTCTCTAAGGGGATAAAGTTTCGGTTTATGTGGGCTGGAGCCAAATCCTTCCTTAAGAGGAAACAAATCCACTTAAGAAGTTCATTAGTCTGGATTTCAGTGGAGCGTTTACAGTGTGAGGAGATGCCAAAACATTCCTTGGTTTGATTTGAACAACAACAATTTGAAATAAACATTTAACGATTTTTGCATCATCAATCAATCTGGCTTGCTTGAATAATGCCATCTAAATAAAAAATGTCCACCCTAGTTCCTCAAAGTCCAAGGTCATGTCACTTTATTATGATTTATAACTCCATGCTTTAATGTTCAAAAAGCCCTTTATTTTTCTCCTACTGCCTGATTGGTCAACCGCTTAGAGATGTCCCGCCCCTTAGCCTATCACATACAGTCATAGAGTTGCATAGAAATGCTTTGAGTGTTACATAGTGATGTCACTATTTTCCTGAAGTAAACAAAGGGTTAGGGAGCACTGAGATTTAGCCTTTGCAGACCATTTACATGCACTAAAACCTATAGAACACACTACAGGAAAGAGAAAAAGGCAAAAAAGGGCCTCTTTAAGTGCATTTAAAAATCATTTCCGGTTACAAATACTACAATCAACCTGTATTTGTTCCTTAATACACAATTGGAGTACAGTAAGTAAAAGTATTCTGATTGTGAATAGACTTTCCTCTCACATCAGTTTCTGTAATGTCAGCATCACCAACACTGCGTACAAAACCCTCGACACTATTCCTTCTTCTTCTTCCAGTGAGTGTTTTTATCCCCCCCCCCCCTCTCTCTGCAGCTGATGGGCCTCTGTGTTCTCTGTGTGGGGGTTTACGCTGAAGTGGAGCGGCAGAAGAACCGGACCCTGGAGGGCCTGTTTCTGGCCCCCGCCGTGGTGCTCATCCTGCTGGGCCTGGTGATGTTCACTGTGTCCGTGGTGGGCATGGTGGGCTCCCTGAGGGACAACAAGACCCTGCTGCACATGGTGAGGAGGAGCTCTTTGTTGTTGTTGTTGATGTTGTGTACAGAAAGATATCTTTTACCCCTGAGCGTTCCCAAGAAGATTTATTGTCGGTGCTGCTGTCGGATTTCTGTTTCCCCCTCAAAGCAACACGAGACACACTGTGGAGGTTTCCAGAAATCTGTGCAGCAAAGACATTGATAACATAGTTTCTGTCGCTTGATTTTCATAATAATAACAATAAATAACGTTATTTGTTGGAGGCAGGTCAAAGTGCTTTAACAGTTTGGCACAAGACAAACAGAAAATAAGATAACATTTAATTCCAGTCCAAGGTTAAAAGATATATAAGCAGCATGTGCAAGGCAAGTGCTTTGCTAAATAGATTAAAGGCATTTAATGGGCCCTATTATTCAAATGTTCAAGTGTTTCATGTCTCTACTGTGACATGTCTCCATGTTTTAATGTTCAAAAAGCTCGACACATAGGGATTTTAGCCTTTACAGACCATTTACATGCACCAAAACCCGTATAGAGTGGCGAAGCCCCTCCCCTTCCGGTGGACCTCCATGGGACCTTATTTCGGTAAAATTATGTATTGAAGTCAATGGCGAGAGAAAGATTATCTTTCGATCCCGTTTGAATTGTGCCACGAATTACACATATGATGTTTGTCAATTTAAAAGATAATTTCGCAAGTAAAAAAAATAAAAATGTCGTAAAAAAATGTTTTGTGTGAAACCGCTCAATGAACTACATCTCACGTCTCGCACCACACACCCAGACGGCCGTCACGTTGAAACATTTCACTTCTTTCTTTCAGAATGAGGCGGAAAGTATTAAAAGAGGTGAAAATCACTCCAAGCCTGGGCGCGTTGAGAGCTGTGCATACACACAAGGGGAGTTAGTCGGTTCCGTGAGAGCCAGCATGCGGGACCGCGACTCTGGGATTTGTAGTCTTTCTAGTTGCCTATTTTTCATAGTCTTATATTTCAACAGTTTTACGACAAACTGGGACTTTTTTGACATGGAAATGATCTTTTAAATTGACAAACATCATATGTGTAATTCGTGGCACAATTCAAACGGGATCGAAAGATAATCTTTCTCTCTCCATTGACTTCAATACATACTTTCCATGGGGCGGAAGTAGATGGGCGGGATTTCGCCTCTCCATAACAAACTACTGGAAAGGGAAACCCCCAAAAGCAGAATAGGGCCTTTTTAAGATATAGTGCAACAGAATGACATCATGACCTTTTTAAGTACATATGAAAACAATTTAATTAAAAAAAGCCAAGATAATACAGATGTATCCAAGCTAAGAGTATGACTTATAAAATACAACTATACAATGTTTTAGTAAGACCTGTGAAGACACCATTACAGTAGTCGAGTCTACTGAAGATAAAAGCATGGACACGTTTTTCCAAATCCTGCTGTGACATTAGTCTTTTAATCCTAGATATATTCTTTAGGTGATAGTAGGCTGACTAATTGTTTTAATATGACTGTTTAAACTCAGCTCAGAGTCCATGACTAATCCTAGATTTGTGGCATCATCTGTTGTTTTAAACATTGCAGACCGAAGCTCAGCGCTGACTTTTATTCGTTCCTCCTAAGCTCCAAAACAATTACCTCAGTTTATCTTTATTTAATTGGAGGAAGTTCTGACACATCACGTAATTGAATTGCTCATGTACTTACTCAGCGCTTTAATTGGACCATAGCCCCGTGGTGAGATTATAATGTAAATGTGTGTGTCGTCTGCATAGCTATGGTAACTAATTTCCCATATCTGAGGAAGTGGAAGCATGTCGATGTTAAAGTAAAGAAGCCCCAGGATGGAGCCCTGAGGTATTTTTTTCCTGTTTTTACCCTGAATTTTGTATAAAAGTGCGATTTTTTTCCCTGCCTCGACAGTTTCTCTGTGTCCTCTGTGTGTTGCTGCTCCTCCAGGCCATCGGGCTCACCCTGGCTCTCATCTTTGAAAACAAGGTAAATATTATTCATGTCACTTTTCCTCTAAATCCTCAGATAATATCCTAAATGATAGCATCAACACTTGTTCCTCTCTTCAGACGTCGGCCCTGTTTCAGAGCAGTATACGAGAAGGAATCAAACACTACTACGATGATCTGGACTTCAAGAACATCCTGGACTACATGCAGGAAAAGGTGGTTTGATATTTAATATATAAACACATAAAGACAGACACTTGAGGACAATAATGATGCTCTTATTTGATAATTTGTTTGCTACGCAGCTGTAGGGTTGTACCATCTCTTCCTAGAGTGCAACATACAATATATAGGAGACATAAAAAGACATACAATAGTGCAAGGGACACCACGGTTTGATTTTGATTAGATTTATTTCCATCGTGTAAAAAAATTAATGAAATGAAACAAGAGAATTATGATACTGTACAAACCTAAGCAGTATCAAATTAATAAACACAAATATTATTGACTTATAAATTATATATAAACAAATGATCTTCCTAATTACACATCCGAAAAGGTTGCATGTAAAAATGCAGGAATATGTCGACCAAGTACCTGTAAATAATCGAGCAGTGTGTATTTTGGAAACGTCACACTGTTTAAGATATAAATCTAATCCGAACAGTACATCAGTGCATTGAGTTTCTTTCAACATGACCTTCAGAACTAAATGTCTGTAACGGGTGTTTAACCTTTAGCCGTGAGCTGAAGATGTAATCTCCCCTCACTCCTACATCCTCACAGGAGATCATGCTGTTTGATTTCACCGCAAACGTCAGTAAAACAGGCGATAAATCCTGTTCCTGCCCTTTTTATTCGTCCTCCCACTGCTTGTCTTAAGTAGAGATGTCTTTCAAAATAAATGTCAGACTTTACGGTGGAAAGTAACTTAAGTACATTCACTGTATTTAAGTACAATTTAGAGGTACTTGTACTTAGACATTTCCATTTCCTGTTACTCTACTATGCTTCTATTCCACCATCAATTAGAGACAGATATTGGACATTTTACTACCCTTCATTTATTTGACTAATTTAGTAACTTGGAATATTTAGATTTAGTTTTATAATCTAATTTATAATTTTTAAATTCCACTGGATGAGGCAACGCAGCTTTATTCCTGTCACATAAATGCCATATAAATTATATTTAAAGAGGCCCTATTATGCTTTTGGGGGTTTTCCCTTTTCTGTAGTGTGTTCTTCAGGTTTAAGTGCATGTAAATGGCTTGAAACGCCTCCATTGGACTTTTTACTCCCAGAACATAATGACATCACTATGTAACACTTGCACTGTTATGGCTTTTACATCTAATGTAGGTTTCACAAGATGATTCTGACACTGAGCTGCGTTTGAAATGCACCTTTTGAAAGAGGCCATATTCGGCTTTTGGGGGGTTTTCCCTTTTCTGTAGTGTGTTCTTCAGGTTTAAGTGCATGTAAATGGTCTGCAGAGGCTAAAATCCCTGCGTCAATGCTAAGATTTAAAAAATATTTACCTGAGTATAACTTTGAATGCAGGACTTTTACTTGTAACAGAGTATTTGTACACTGTGTTATTATGTCTTTCTGTCTAGGTGTCACGGTTCCTAATTTTCTGGTCTTTTTCTGTCTTTTCTTCCAGTTCTCCTGCTGTGGGGGGGACGAGTATAAGGACTGGGGGGTGAACCAGTACCATTTCTGTAATGGCACTGGTCCTCTGGCCTGTGGGGTCCCTTATACCTGCTGTGTCCGCAAAAAGGTGATTACACGCACACGCACACGCACACGCACACAGCATCTCATAAAACATCTTCACCAGCTGTGTGTATCCTTCATTTAATTGGAGTTCATTTGGGCCAGATCAATGGACAAATATATATATATTGCTCCTTAATCAATGTATTTCCAAGTGTAAAATACTAGTATTTACGTTTTTTTTTCTTTATTATAACATGATTTCTCAATTATAGTCATGAAATCCCACAATTTTCCGACTCTTATCTAGAGCTTCGACATAAGCCGGTGATTCCTCTCTGTAAAATGTGAGCTACACAGGGCGTATTATCCCTGGTGCTATTTCTGAGTCAATTTCACATGCAATAATGTCAGAAGAAGGCTGTTTCCAGCGGATCAGATATGGAGATTTACTGCTTTTCTCTTCTATTAAAGTGAATATCTTCAGACTGACAAAACAACACATTTGAAGACTTTGAGAAAAGGGGATTTTTCACTATTTTCCGAAACTATTTTAGACTAAATGAGAAAACAAATCAGCTGATTAATTGTTAATTAAGAAATAGTTGTTGGTCTCAGCCTTGTTGAAAAGGCTATAATCAGTCCGTCACAAAGTAGGCTGTAAAAACATGAAATAACCCGCTCTCTTTTTCCATTTGAGATTTCACACAAATACTTGATCAAAGCATCCGGGACGTCTTACTATCTGCACATCGGATTGATTATATGAGTGTCTAGTATGTGGCCTCAAGGAAAGTTTTGTCTTCACCAACGAGTCGAGTTGTTTTAAATCGAGGCTAAAAACATTACTTTTTCCAGCTGCTTACCCAGAAGTCTTTTAACTTGTTTTAGCACCTACTGTTTTCACACACACACACACACGCGCACGCACGCACACACACACACCATTTGTATTGTATTATTGAATGAGAGAGGTTCCAGGTCGTTGTGTTTAGTATTCATGAGAATATTTGTCATTGTTCAAATGATAATAAACATTAGCATAAAGCATATTTGTCCACTCATATGTTGATAAGAGTATTAAAAACTTGAAAAATATTCCTCTAAGGTACATTTAGAACAGATCAAAAATGTGCGATTAATTTGCGATTAATCGCGATTAACTATTTTAATCGTCTGACAGCCCTAATATATATATTTTCATGAACAATGTACGCTAGCGGCGGACCAGAACAGTTTTAAAGCTTCTTCTTGCCTGTTACGTCCCAGCTAGGGGAAGAGGAAAGCAACATACACCAGTTGGAATTGGTAATAATTATAAACAGTTTTATTATACAGCAGGTTAACAAAGAGGCAGGCAGGCAGCCTGAAACAAACAAAAGTGGCCACAAGTTTAAATGGGCAACCAAACAAAGGGAAGACTCTAAAAGGGGAGCCTAATAGAGAACCGCAGTGACGCGTCCTAAAACCCGGATGTAAACTCCTTCCGGTTCCCAACGCAATGCAATTTCTCCATAGGATATTGGAAAATAGCTGGAAATAAGGTCTGTGGTTGACACACATTTAGGACACGGATCACGTTTTGTTCAGCCGGATAATCTCCACATGTCTACCCTACTTTTATAATTTTCGAAGCATAAATCTAGTCGCCAGAAGCAAAATGCTAACGTTATGCTATCAAGGAACTACAGCAGGGTCGCTGCTTCAACGTCACGCCAACTTCAGATCCATATTCAAACATACAGATTGTAAATGGTACGAGTTGAAGTGTTTGAACAGTTTGCAGGAGGCAGGTACTTGCTTTCAAGCAGAACAGGGCAATCAAACTTAGGAGTGTTTTACGTGTTCGGTGTAATTACGTAAAACGGCCTGGACAACTTCTGTAGTCCTATTCAGCCACTTGGTAACAACCATCGTTTTTCAGACACGTCAACTCTTCAGAAATCACCAGTGGGGTCACTGATGATGATTTTAATGTCGTAGAACAAAACGTGATCTGTCTCTTCAATGAGTCTCAACCACAGACCTTATTTCCAGCTATTTTCCAAAATCCTATGGAGAGATTGCTTTTTGTCGAAGGAACCGGACGTGGTAAAAATGCTAACTTACTTCCGGGTTTTAGGACGCGTCACTGCGGTTCTCTATTAACTACAAACAAATATACATTAACAACCAAAATAACAACAAAACTACCCTTACTATCCAAGTGGTACAGACTAACGAAAAGGCTAAACTAAATGACCACAGTCAACGTAATATTATACCACACGAGTTAACCACTGTTAACAGAATTCATCACACAAACGAAGAGCACGTAGCGAGAGGCGTCGGTTCCCATAACAGAGCCTTCAGAGTGATCGTCGGTCACAGGCTTTAAAGTCGTCTCCAGCAGGTGTGCGCCGGCTGTGCGCTGCGTCGGGCCCGGTGTGCTCCAATCACAATCTTCGGGGGGGCGGACCAGGAGATAGCAGCCAATGACCTCAGGGCAACCGCACAGCTCATTTACATATAACACTGTTAAGACGACCAGGAAGACGGCAGCCATAACATTGCCGCTGTTGAACATGACAGAAACTATTTTTTTATACACCTTGAACGTTTTATTTTTATTTTTCTTCTCTTTGTTACAATTATTATTATTTTTATAATTATTATTATTATTGTTTGTTTTGTTTCTAACATGTTCAATACATTGACTAATAATAATAATACAACATTTCTCAATTTGGGATAAATAAAGTACCTCTTATCTTAGTATGTGGCCTCAAGTAGAGTTTTGTCTTTAAATTAAAGGTCACCTATTATGCAAAACCCTCTTCTTCATGTCTCTTCTACATCAACATGTGTCCCCTCTTCTTCATGTCTCTTCTACAGCAACATGTGTCCCCTCTTCTTCATGTCTCTTCTACATCAACATGTGTCCCCTCTTCTTCGTGTCTCTTCTACATCAACATGTGTCCCCTCTTCTTCGTGTTTCTTCTACATCAACATGTGTCCCCTCTTCTTCGTGTCTCTTCTACATCAACATGTGTCCCCTCTTCTTCGTGTTTCTTCTACATCAACATGTGTCCCCTCTTCTTCATGTCTCTTCTACATCAACATGTGTCCCCTCTTCTTCTTGTCTCTTCTACATCAACATGTGTCCCCTCTTCTTCATGTCTCTTCTACATCAACATGTGTCCCCTCTTCTTCAAGTCTCTTCTACATCAACATGTGTCCCCTCTTCTTCATGTCTCTTCTACAGCAACATGTGTCCCCTCTTCTTCATGTCTCTTCTACATCAACATGTGTCCCCTCTTCTTCATGTCTCTTCTACAGCAACATGTGTCCCCTCTTCTTCATGTCTCTTCTACATCAACATGTGTCCCCTCTTCTTCATGTCTCTTCTACATCAACATGTGTCCCCTCTTCTTCATGTCTCTTCTACATCAACATGTGTCCCCTCTTCTTCATGTCTCTTCTACATCAACATGTGTCCCCTCTGTGGAAAGAGACTCTGAAAGTTTCAGGAACAAAGATTCTCTCTCTTTTTGATCCATTTCTATAAAAACCTGTCTGAAAATGAGCTGATCAGATTTTGGCCACTTTATGATGTCATAACGATGTTTTGTCTTGTGTAACCATTAGCCAATCAGCAACCAAGGTAACCCCCCCCCCCCCTTATCACCTGAATCTCCTCCTAGAGCACCATTCAGTTCTTTGTAACCAAATATATCTCTCAGAGGGGCGTGGGGAGGGGCTCCTTATTTTCATCTGAAGCAGGGGTCGGCCTGTAGCTGACCTATACGGACCCGGACATATAATCAATACATTAATAGGGGATTTCAATTTTGACGGGGCGATTCTATTTTAACCGCCGCCGACAGGGGGCGAAAGAGACGAGTGAGCGATACAGGGAGAGAAACACAGAAGAAGAGACGAGAAAGCGGCAGAGAGAAGCGGAGAGGAAAGTAAGTGAAGACAATAATTAGCGATACAGGGGGAGAAGCGGAGAGGAGAGTGAACAGGCATGTTAGCGGCAGGGAGAGACAAATCATTACACATGGCGCTCTCCAAGAAGAGGAAAGTGGACAGTGAGAACAGAGCTTTTAACCCTGAGTGGACTCATTCATGTTCATCCTGCCCACTGGCAGCACAGAACCAGTGTGTCTCATTTGTTCAGAGACCGTGGCGCTCATTAAAAGTGCCAAAACGCCACTATGAGACAAAACACAGTGTTTGACCAAACACTCACTCTCAAGTCAGAACTGAGGTCACAACAAATAAATATCGTTCCAGGGCAGGCTAACCGAGGCTAACCAATGAGCACCTGCATGTGTGTATGAGAATGGCCCTGACACCATTTCAGCCCAGATCTACAAACTCCTGGCAGGACAACAAGCTCGAGCTCAATTCTCGCACTGAATAAAACAAAGTGAGTGAGGGACTGCAATATAAGAGGGAAAGAACGAGAAGCTTTAAAACTGTTAAATTGTTATGATGTAAAGACTGATATTGTTCTATAATCGGCTGAAACTGAAAGAAAAAGGGACACTCAAGCTGCTGCTACACTTTATTTTATTTATCTAAAATTAAGCACTTTTAAGATGCACATATTTTCAAAAGCTATTTTATTTATTTTCTCTATTTTATTTTTAAATGCAGCCCGAGAGGAACATTACACATATCCACAGTATTTACTGTATATCTGTAGAGTTCAATGTTCATTGACAATACATATTGTTCTTTATTAATTGTACTTTCTTTATTTGGCAGTCAGTTGTTGATTACATGCAGACGTTGATAAAGCTACAGGTCACTTCAATAAATATCACACTAATTCATGAAGCAACTTAGACATTTTGATGTTCCGGACCTTTGCATGGGGAGATTTTCTCTAACTGGACCTCGTTGAATTTCAGTTGAATACCCCTGGTGTAAAGTAACAGACAGAGAATCAGCCCTTTGGAAACAGGGCAATGATCTGTTTGGTGTTTCAGTCAATCAGAGACAGGTTCTGTATATATCTGAGACCTGTGATATATTGATGAAAAACAGTATAATGGGGGACCTTTAAATATAAGTCCCTGTGCCCCCTCCTCTCTCTATATATCCCCTCTATGCTCACGTCCCTGATACCGTCTCTGAAGCAGTGGAGCGTCACCAGAGAAGTTAATGACAAAATCCTCCTCACCCGGAGCAGAGATATAAAGTGGAGCGCTGACGAGGTCCAGGTTCCTCACGTTATCAGCTCCAGCGCTGCAGAACCTTTCTGCAAACACTGAGGGTCTCAGGGGACAGAGACTCCCCTGTGTGAGGGGCTTTACTCCCACATATATGTGCCCACTAGCTATTCTGTTGGGAAAAATGGGTCAAATATTATCTGCGTTTATTATTATTGAGCTTAAGAAACAATCAATAAGAAGTGTAGACTAGAAGAGGCTGTTTCCAGACGTGGAAGAAGTACTCTGAACATTTTAATGAAGATGTTCTGCTGCAGATTTTCTTTCGGACTTTAAATTGAACCCATAAGAACCTTCGGAGACACCGGTGTCACATGAAATTTAAATGTTCTGGAAAGTTCCTTATACAGCTTTAGCCTTTATTTTATCTCATGAAGTCCCTCAGTGACACACACTGAACATGGGCCAGGTCATGTGACTTTGTGTTCCCATGACAACATGTCCATGGGCCAGGCTAACACATGTGACAGAACTAGCTACATTTCAGAAGCTTTTTTGTTGTTGCTTGAGTTAAGATTTAAGCCATTTAAGAATTGTAATGCTTACAAAACATGTCCTTATTACATTTAACCTGTTGTGGAAACATTTATTGATCAAATTGATATGAAACAAATAAGATAAATATCGGTATGACATTAATGTAACAACGGGACATTCACTTTAACTTTTCTCTGTAAATCTGGAGCAACATGTCACAATTAGAAATGGCTCCGGGTTCTTAAGGAATACAAACTACTATTTTGTCTTTTACTCGGCAGTGACCGACATCACAGCCTACCTCGGCCAGTTTGGTCCACTCGGGTTAGATTTCACTGAAATCAGTAATGAAGAATCTGCAGGTCGCTGAAAAACGGAATCCTCCCAAACCTGAGAGCGCTGTCCTCAAAGAGAAAGGGTATTTCTGTCTATACAATCGATCATAGCGGCTGCTGCCGACTCGTCTATTCCAGTGTTTTCAACCTTTTTTTAAAGCCACGGTACATTGTTTACAATCCCCGTGGCACACCAACAACCACAGGTCTCTCAAGTTGGCTGTGAGTTCAGCTCCGAAGTGGCTTTGAGAGCCCTCTCTTTGTGGCTTTTCTCATAAAATGTACCTTTCTGATAACGCAGGCGACCAAAATAGTCTGTGTTCTTGTTTTGAAGTGACGGTGTTTCGTTCGGAGATGATATGCTTACTTGTGACACTGTTGGAATTTATTTGCAGCAACTAAATAATATTCTTTTTGGTCAAATTGAAAATTGGTAAAATTGGACAATTTTCCAAGGCACACCCCTCGATGTCTCACGGCACAGCGGTTGAAAATCACACGTAAATTCTATTTAAATACACTTCAAATTATTCAAAGGGGAATTATTTTCATCGTACATTTTGACAGACATTTGTTGAACAGATTTCCCTGATCAAAGTCCAGTTAATACCGACTAACACAGTGTTGTCTTTGCTCATCTTGTCTAAGTCTTTTCTCTGACTCTCTCTGTGGTTCTTTGCAGGTCGGAGAGGTCATCAACACTCTGTGTGGCTACAAGACTCTGGATCAACAGGTGAGAGAAACAAAAACACTTCTGATGCGCTGTGCACTGAGGGTTTTACCAAAATAATAATAGCCGCCTAGACCAAGTCTGTTTGCCAACGTAAGGCCTCCCTTCCCCTACTAATGTTGGATGATATGTCATGATCTTCAAACAGCTGCCTTTACATTGTGTTTTCACTCCTGAGAGGGGGTAGGACCAAAACGTTTTTTTAAGCTTCTTCCTGACACAAACCACGGTGTTAAAACAACAAAGGAGGACGCTGTACAAACGCTCTGTGACATGGAGTCCGATAACATTTTCTGCATCGCTAACTCCCTCCCTCCGACCAATGAGGACCGCTGCTTTGAGGAGAGTTTGAAACAAGCATCAAGGAGAATCTGGAGCGAGTATCGCAGAAACTGGGAGAAGAAAAGCAGACTCGATTATTGGAGAAATAATTACCTCCGTTTTCCAGCTCTGGCACAAATACCAGATAAATACCTCAGAGAAACGAGCTGCAAACGCTCATCGTTGTGAAGGAAAACATGCATTTCACAAAGAAGACGAGATGTACCAAGGCTTTATTTATATCATGGAGATAGATGGTTGGAATGAAATCCTCTTTCGAATGTGGCAGGTTCACACTTAGTCCAGTAGTTTAAAGCTCCCATGTCATGGCCATTTCTACTGATCATAATTCCATTGTTGAGGTCTACTAGAATAGATTTACATTGTTCAATTTTCCAAACTCACATTGGTTTCTCACAGCATCTCTGTAAAGTCTGTGTATTCACTCTCTGTCCTAAACGGCTTGTTGGAGCTCCTCCCCCCCCCCCCCCTCCCTCCCTGTGAGCCCACTGTGGTCGAGACGTTGAGAGGCTCGTTGCTGCGATCTGTTCCGCTCCTCGCAGCAGATCGCAGCAACAAGCCTCTCGGTGATACAGCGAGAACAAGCGAAACTCATCCTGAGCACACAAACACTCACAGCCGAAGTAAAAACAATAAGTGTGGCTTGATATTGAGAAAGAAAAAGGTTTATAAAGCTGTGAGAATGGGTCTGCGGAGAGCATTTCTCCGCCATCCCAACTTAGCAGCCCGAAAAACGTTTACCCATTTAAACAGTCGTGGTAGATACCTTGTTTGTTTTAAACATCATAAATACACAACAACAATGAATACTTACAGGTTGTGTACCTGAATCTCTTGCTGGTCCAAACAAAGCAGGAACAGCATCGTTCTTCAGTGCCCTACGCTGTGCATATCCGGCATGAATCGCTGAAAGGTTTGGGAAGCTTTGTTTCGTGAAAGGCTGGCAGAGGGTGTGGCCTCTGGGTATCCCCACGTCAGAGTACCCAGGAAGTAAATGAGGAATCTCTAACGAGGCGTTTTGGGGAGGTCTTTAGAGTTCTACTCGCTACAGGGTGCACTTTGAGGGGTTTTAACTCTGCAGACCGTTTACATGCAGAAAGACCTTCATAGCACACAAGGGGACGGGTGATAACCGGAAAAGCATGACATGGGACCTTTAAAGTAACTAAGTAGATTTACGTCATTACGTCATTATTTAAGTCACTGACCTCACCACCTTCAAAAAACGTACAAAAACTCACCTCTTCGATCTGGCTTTTGATGTGTGATTGTTGTTGTATTGCTTGATTTTAATTAGACTGACTATATTTATTTGTTGTTATTTTTCTTTTCACTATCTCTGTAAAGCGACTTTGAGCACCAGTGAAAGCGCCAACAAAATAACTATTATTATTATTAAGTACACTTTTGAGGTACTTGTATTTTGAGTATTGACATTTCTCCTACTTTGTACTTAAATCGTGTACTTTTACTCGACTACATTTATTTAATACCTTTACCGTTACATTACAGATACAAAACAAAACTGCATTTCGCTGTCTCTGTATTTTTTTTCAGTATTTTTTTCTGTGCTATGAAAATAAATCTAATCTAATATCCATTGTAGAGCAAAATTATAAAGAAATGAAACCGTCAATCTTATCCAGGGAAAAGATCCATAGTCCAGGCAAGAACAATAGCCGCTTTCACACCAAGTACTTAGCCGGTACTTGTCCCCCCCGAACTCTTTGGTCCCTGGAACTATCTAGTAGATTGCGTTCTCACCGGAATAAGTCCCTAAAGGAGGATTACACGGAGGGGACTGGCTTCAGTAGAAGCTTCCGAGTAAATCGCCAGAAGCGCCGACACCTCCTCATCACTCCACCGCTCCCATGTTTCTATCTTGTTGGTCGAATGCACTTATTGTAAGTCGCTTTGGATAAAAGCGTCAGCTAAATGTAATGTAATGTGTTGCCATAAGTTAGTCTCTCTCCGTTGGTGCGCTGGGCTAATGCTGGGCTAATGCTGGGCTAATGATGGGCTAATGCTGGGCTAATGCTGGGCTAATGATGGGCTAATGCTGGGCTAATGATGGGCTAATGATGGACTAATGATGGGCTAATGCTGGGCTAATGCTGGGCTAATGTTGGGCTAATGCTGGGCTAATGCTGGGCTAATGCTGGGCTAATGCTGGGCTAATGCTGGGCTAATGCTGGGCTAATGCAAGCAAATAAAATAACGGCTTCACAAAACTTTTCTGAGTTTTACGGGGCGTGGTTTGCAATACGCCCAGCCAATCAGAAATTGTTAGTGTGGCCGACACACACACGAACCATTTCCTCCTCAGGAAAGTACTACCTCTCTAGCAGGGACTATCTGGGGGTGGAAAGGTTCGCGCGAGCTAGGGACTAGTTCCCATCGGCCTAGTTCTCCGTACTCCGGTGTGAAAGCGCTAACTGTCTTCTGAAGTTTATTAGATGGTCAAATATCAGAAAGTATAATGAAAACAGTTTTACTATCTTGCCTTTTTTGCCTTTCCTGTGGCATTTCCTGGTTTAAAAAAAAAAGACATTTGCCCTCTGTGACACTGTCTCCAGTAAATACATAATCACCAAAACTGCCTTCAAGATAAAAGCATAGACTAGTTTAATCAACTTGTCACTAATAATTACACTAATTCAAATCTACATTAGCAATAAACAAAAACGGCAATAAAATAAACGATGAAGTAATATAAATCAATGTGCTCAAACATCCATATTCATTTGCATTATTATCTTCCCCTTGTGTTTCTAATGTGATCACTTATGTGGCTTTCCATTAAGCCTGCACAATTAATGACATTTATCAAAATTGCAATATGGAGACGGCAATATCCAAATGGCACGAAGCACAATTTGTTAAAGGCTGAATAGGTGTCATTAAATGTGTATATTTTCATCACAATGAGAATTTAAAAACCATCAATGTGTCCTACATCGTTAACTCTGTAACAATAAATGCAATCAGTATATTAGATATTTATTTCTAAATGTGCCGCCTGTGTAAATAGCATTGCTAGTTTATTGTCATTTTTAAAACATGTTTGGCTTTATGATGAAAGAGTGTTATGTTTTATTTAATATCTTAATTATGTAGGGTGTTCAGACTCTGAATCTTTTGAATCTAAAATGCAGCTCTTTGCTTCAAAAACAAAGGTTTTATTGTCATATGCACAAAGCTACAGTGTAGAAATGGCAATGAAATTATTCTGACCTGAGCTCCTCCAACGATGAAACATATAATGAAAAAAAAAAAAAAGAAATAATGCAAGAAGTCTATCTACATGTAAACCAGGGATGGGCAAATGGCGGCCTCAGATTAATTTATAAACAACGTAATTAACAATAAAAAAAGGATATTGTTTTACTTGTAGTACTGATACCGTCCACTAGGCTCCTTGTTACGTCGTGAGCTACGTACATGATTTTGTTCGGCAGCCAAATACCGCGAAATGATTTGTGTGTATTGTGTTTTTTCCCCCGGGGAAACACTCACAAGAAACACCGGCTGTTGTTTTGCCTGCTGTGACGTTAAGTCACCGCTTGTAATTATGCCTTTACAAACTTCAAAGTTGCATTCATCAGCTGAATTTGGCAAAACAAGTTTGATATTCTAAAAACCAAGACTTTGTTTATTTGAAATCATCATTTCAGCGGGAGGGAGGGGGAGCGGCGCCGAGGAACAGCAGGCTGACAGGTGTCTGTGTGGACACTCCCCTTAGTGTGCGTCAGCAGAGGCTTCAAGTGTCTTAGGTTCAAGTTAGACAACTAATGTCTGGGTTAGTGTTTATGACTTCATGCTTATGTCATCTTAATATTTAATCTCAATGCACACACATTTTCCGTGCTTTCCAATAGTTTAAAATAGTTTTATTCCATTGTCTGATAACTGTGTGTGTGTGTGTGTGTGTGTGTGTGTGTGTGTGTGTGTGTGTGTGTGTGTGTGTGTGTGTGTGTGTGTGTGTGTGTGTGTGTGTGTGTGTGTGTGTGTGTGTGTGTGTGTGTGTGTGTGTGTGTGTGTGGTGTGTGTGTGTGTGTGTGTGTGTTGTGTGTGTGTGTGTGTGTGTGTGTGTGTGTGTGTGTGTGTGTGTGTGTGTGTGTGTGTGTGTGTGTGTGTGTGTGTGTGTTAAATGATGTTGGCCCCCACCACCATCCAAGTTGCCCATCCCTGATGTAAACAGAATGATTTGTACAACAAACAGAATATGAAATTAAATAATGTTCATTAAGACTAAATTAAATACGGTTTATTGCGCTTATAATTATTTTTTATTTTTCGGTTGTACCTTTATGTTCAGGGGTTTTATATTATAGCATCGATTCAGTTGTTCTATGTCTTATCTGTCAGAGAGAAATAATGATTTATTTTAATGTTATAATCATACCTTTTGCCTGTTAACCTGATCAAATGTTATATTTTGCTGCATGTACCTTTTTAAAAGTTCTTAACAAATAATCTGAGAGGATTATTTTGTACTTGTGATGTCATTTTGTAAAGCACTTTGAGCTGCATGTGTTGTATGAAAAGTGTTCTATAAATAAAGCTTTATTATTATTATATAAAGAAGTCTCTCTACTGCGTGTGACAACTTTAAAGAGTCACTGGTTCTTCTTATATAAAGAGGAACCATACCCCACTGAAAGGTCATGGGGTCGGATTAGAATGTTCCAAAGGGGGTTCGTTTAGCATGAAACACTAGAAATAACTAAAGGACAAGTTAAACAAGAAAGTGAGGCCACAGAAAACTATTCCTGCTAAAAAGTGAGCAATGATCGAGTCAGAGCTAAACATTTCAGATGTGAGTATCTCACACTGCGCTGTCACTTTAATTCATCTACCTTTGAAATTCATGTTTTATTATCTTTGCTTTTAAATGAGTGTTTGCAGATGTCATTTTATAATATGTTTCTTAATGTCTTTCATTTTTGTAAAGCACTGAATTGCTTGCCTCTCCTTATAAATAGATATTTTTGGAAGCAGGGTGTGTTGAGTGTTGATATTGAAACGTTTCCTCTTGTCTCCCCCCCCCCCCCCAGCATCAGCGTGAAACCCTTCACGAGTTGATCCACGTGCGCGGCTGCATCCACGCAGTCAACCTGTGGATGAGCGACAACGTGGGAATAACGACGGCTCTCTCCTGTGCCATCGGCCTGCCGCAGGTAATTTAAAACTCACGCAGCGCTTCGCTGACTCTGAGCTCTGGAGCCAGGTTTCCCTCCAGGCTGTTGGGAAAACCTCCTGACATTATTAATGTTCCTCACAACAACCAGGCCTGGAATGTTACCCCCCCCCCCCCCCTTATCACCTGAATCTCCTCTAGAGCACCATTGAGTTCTTTGTAACCAAATCTCTCTCAGAGGGGCGTGGGGAGGGGCTCCTTGTTTTCATCTAAAGTAACAGACAGAGAATCAGCACTTTGGAAACAGGGCTGAAACAGAGGGGATTATGGGTAATGCTGCAATTATCTGTTTGGTGTTTCAGCCAATCAGAGACAGGCTCTGTGTATATCTGAGACCTGTGATATATTGATGAAGAAGAGGATGATAGGAGACCTTTGAGAAATGTGTTGATGAAATAGAAAAGAACACTTTCACTGGGATATTTTGCACGATACAGTTTACACGTAGAGACATACACCTGAACATCAGCTGGAGAGGACTCCTTAACTCAGCCTGGATAAATAAACTGTGAACTCTCACTTCCTGTCAAGGTTTTTCTGCCTGACTAATTATTTTCAATGCTCCATAAAAACCTGATTTATCACTGCCATAACATAATTAGAGAAATCAAACAGATTGTGGTGTAACTAATTTGTTTTCTAATACTGACTTCAGTGTCTCGGTTTCATTGTTTTCTACCTTAAATCTGAATTTGTCGCCTTCACATTCCTTTGGCCACAAATCTGTCCATGCATAATTTAGACTTGTCCCGGCGCCCCTTCAGCGGGGATTGATTACAATAATTACTTTTCTAAAACAACATTATAAATAGCATTGGTTCTCTCCAAGCACCACTCCTACAGGATAAATGAATACATGTTCTGCTGGTTAAGTTCCCTTACACCACTGTTTCTGGGAGAAAATACAAAGTGTTCACTTAACTTTTTACTTTTTACTACAAGTCCTAATGTTTAATTGGTTAGATCTGCAGTAGTTGACTTTATTAAAATTATGTTTTTATCACATTTTCTGAAACTTTCCCTATATCCTGCCACGAGGTGATAAGGATAAAAAAGTAATTACGATATTTCTGATCAAATACCTATGTTGGGGAAATATTTTCCAAGGCCCATAACTTTGACCCAGTTTATCAGTTCAAACTGTCCTGACTGAGCACACGCACCTCGTAACCTTGGCTGCTGTGCCCTCAGTGTTCTGTCTCCCTGTTCCTGCCTGTTGGCGTCAGCTGATAGAGGTGTTATGATTCTATCTTGTTATGCAGCATGTTGATGATTCTCTCTGAACTAGTGAAATACATGGGTCTGGGGTAGAGTTCTTCAGATTTGACGTGGCAACTCTCCCATGAAGTCAGAACCTCTGGATCTTGGACTTGTGATGTGATTCTCCGGCCGAAGCTCCAAAATAAACCATCAGTGTTTGACATCAAAGCTCCTGCTCTTCCCGTGTCTCCTTCATGAGTCGGTGACTCCCACTGCATTGCTACACAGAAGTTTCCCCCACAACCTCAATGTGACCATATTGTAGGGTTGACTACTTGAGCCGGAATTTAAAAACGGAGGTTACTAACAAGTGTCTAGATGAGATGACTAAACGCCATTACGCCCAACATTAGCCGCCTTTAGCTTAGCGGTGGTGACGTGAACTCATGAACTAAGTTCTCTTTTTGGTGTGAACGCAAAATCCCAGGAACTATCGGAACTAAATGGGAAAAGTACGGTGTGAAAGCGCCTAATGTAAATAAAGCTGTTGAAACCCTCCTGTGTTTCCCTGCAGCTGCTTGGCATCATCCTGAGCTGCGTCTTCTGGAACCTGCTGGTGGACATGAGCGAGTCTACGGACATGGTGGACTTCAAGCTGAAGAAGAAGGAGGTGGAGTACACCGAGCTGGATCTGGCGGGCGCCGGGTGGTGCATGTGTCTGCCGAGGGACGGAGGATACCTGCCCGTCCCCGTCGTCGAACCCGACCTCGACCCCATCGACGTTCACCTGCAGAAGCTGAAGAAGCAGCCGCCGCGCACCCACTCTCAGCTCCAGATGATGCGCTCCGCCTCGGGTTTGGACGAGCTGGACGGCGGGCGGAAGCAGAAACGGGAACACTGAACGCAATTTTCTGGGTTTTTCACCTTTTTTCGTGGTTGTAATCATTGTTGGAGTTGTGTGGCACTAACTTATCGGTTTCCGTCATTGGATCAGGCTTAAAGGGATCAAAAGTACTCATTGGCTTTTAAAAAAAAAAAAGTTTTAATTCTTCTTGTTTGTAGCGGTTGATGTTTAAAGTTTTATGGCATTATATCACTTTTCATTTATTTCCTTTATGGTGCGTTCACAGCGGATGAAAGGCGATTTTTTTGCGTGGCACAATTCTGATTTGGAGTTGTGTTGCACTAACTTATCAGTTTCCGTCATTGAATCAAGCTTAAAAGGGATCAAAGGTACTCTGAATATGTTTTCAAGAAAAAAAAAGAATCAAGAAGCAACATGCAACATTGGCTTTTAAAAAAAAATGTTTAGATTTTTCTCGTTTGTAGCTGTTGATATTTGAAGTTTATGGCATTATATCACTTTCAATTTATTTTCTTTATGGTGCGTTCACACCGGATGCAAGGCGGATTTTTTGCGTGGCACGATTACATATAAATTCAATGCAAAGACACAAATGTGACAAAGTCGCTGCTTTATTTCAAGTCACACGTTATTTTCATTTTGGAAAGAGATGCTACAATGCTAGCTTAGCTTAGCCCTGAACCATCCCATATCCATTCAGAGCATTTAAAAAACATGTTTAGCTCTCTTGCAAACAGAACAGATTACTGTTCAATTACTTTTCACAGTAATCGTAATTTTGCTATTTCGTCTTCCCAATTAATCAGTTTTTTGCAATGAAATCACTGCAAAACATCTTTAATATTCGGCTCATACCATTGTAGTAAATAAGATTGATTCTGCCACTTATGACTTGCTAGAGAAAATGAATACGTTTCTGTGTCATTAAAATAACGGTCGCTAGCAAGTGATTCCAAAATACATGCTAGCCGCTGTTAGCATGCTAACATGATCACAATGACGGAGATTATGTTCTTAGCTTAGCGTGTTAGCATGCTATAAACGGCTATATGAAATACTACAGAAATAAATACTAAAATATTTTTGGGATATAGAGAGAGATAATGCTGGTCCAGCTTTGAACCTTAACGGTTATTAACACCTGTCATGAATCTGCAAAAGGAAAAATAAGAAGAGAACACTTAAAACCAGGAATGAGTCAGCATTTTTGCAATTCATCTAAAGGTCAATGTTTTTTTGGATGCGTTATTGCTTACACGTATAAAATAAAGTTGGTGGTTAACACAAGCTGAAGAGATTTAAAGTAAAGACTCCACTTGGACATTTTGAAGCCTTTAAATGTCTTTATAAAAAGGGTTTAAATGAGACTACAAGACGTCATCACGCTGAACATTAGCCACTGTTAGCTTAGCGTGATGACAGTAAGTAATGTGACCGTGCTGTAGTTCCTTTATAGCCCAACATTAGCCGACGTTAGCTTAGCATGTGACAGTGCTGTAGTTCCTTTATAGCCCAACATTAGCCGCCGTTAGCTTAGCATGTGACAGTGCTATAGTTCCTTTATAGCCGTATAAAGTTAACTTTTTCTGGCGATTCAATTTACATTTGCAGGTTAGTAGCTTTTGATGATTTTATTGCTTTGAAATCACGGCAAAATCTGTTAAAATATGGTTTATACCAAAGAAGAAAACAAAGATTTGGGTACAGGTCAGTGAAATGTGTATAGATATGTGTTCCTTCAGATGAACACACAGTCAAAAGGTCATTTGGTTTCTTTCCATATCTGGGACATCCACAACATTCGGCCATGGAAGATGAAAAATGGCTGGTTTCTAAATGGAAGTAAGCCCCGCCTCCTCTCTGACTCGTGAAGTTTAACGCAATCAATTTATTTTAAGAAACACTAGCTTAGCGTCCGCTGTGAACGCACCATTAGCCTTTGAAATTGAGCGATGTCTCACGTGCTAAAGCTTACCTCAGGCTGTTTTGTCATCAGCCCAGAAGTCCGAGGACAGTACTATTTGGTGTGTAAATTAATGGTAGCTTGAAAATATGTTCTTCAGTGTCGGAGAAATAGGAATAGCCAAGTATGTCTTGCGTGTAGCGTCTGTGACGGATGTATACAGTTTGTGTATTATTTATTTTAATTTATTTCTCATTTGATTGTGTGCAATCAGTGTACATTGTAAGACTGGTAGTTGTGAAATAACATGGGATGCATGTTTTGTACTGTATATAAAGTAAGCTAATAAAAAAAAAAGAACAAAAAAACTCATGTAAAACTCTCATCAGGGGGGCTTCAGTCTATTCCATTTTTAAACTGAACTTTTTATTCTATCTTTTAATGGGATTACCCAGACTACAGATCCAGTGGAAAGTCTCTCAATGACGGTTTTTTGTACCTGAGTTATGCACTGTTTTGAGCTTCCCCCTAGCTCTTGCCTTGTATCAGCACTACTGTTCTTGTCAATAAAGCTGAATTTGTCTACTGATTTTTGAGCTACGTTGCTTTCAATATACAAATAAGATGGCGTAAATGTTTCTGAAAAATGGAAACCGCTCATCTGAGATCTGCATGACTGCCCACTGTAAATGGTCTACAAAGGCTAAAATCCCTGTATTCCCTCCAGAGAGAGTTTCTCTCCCAGCTAACCAATCAGAGCAGACTGGTCTCTGGTTTCAGACAGAGGGTGAAAAGAGGTGCTGCAGCAGAGGCAGTATGAGAAACATAAAGAGCTTTTTGAACATTAAAGCATGGAGACATGTAGAGACACTACATACTGATATACACCTGAACATCAGCAGGAGAGGACTCTTTAAAGTAGAGACACTACATACTGATATACACCTGAACATCAGCAGGAGAGGACTCTTTAAAGTAGAGACACTACATACTGATATACACCTGAACATCAGCAGGAGAGGACTCTTTAAAGTAGAGACACTACATACTGATATACACCTGAACATCAGCAGGAGAGGACTCTTTAAAGTAGAGACACTACATACTGATATACACCTGGACATCAGCAGGAGAGGACTCTTTAAAGTAGAGACACTACATACTGATATACACCTGAACATCAGCAGGAGAGGACTCTTTAAAGTAGAGACACTACATACTGATATACACCTGAACATCAGCAGGAGAGGACTCTTTAAAGTAGAGACACTACGTACTGATATACACACATCAGCAGGAGAGGACTCTTTAAAGTAAAGTTTCCAGTGCTTCTTCAAATGAGTTGCTTACACTTCCTCCTTAAAGTCAGCAGCCACATTAATTCAATTGACAAACAGCACATGGACGCAGACAGCTCTCGTCCTGCAGGTCATCCCTATTCACCTTTCCTCCTCCTCCTCCTCCTCCTCCTCCTCCTCCTCCTCCTCCTCCTCCTCCTCCTCCTCCTCCTCAGGATGATCAAGAGACAGCAGGTGGAATAATTACAGCAAGGAAGTGAATTGCTTAAAAAAAGGAACCACTCGGAGAACTGAGAGCAGGATGTGCGCACATCCAAACACGCTGTGATTATGATAATATGGACCTGAATTGTTGTTACAAGCAGGAGGTAGAAAAACACATTCTCACAGTTTCCATATCTCCCAGAGAACAGGCTCTCTATAAATACCACTCAGGTAATAACACATAATGTGAGGATTCTGGGAAATGTGCTGAAATGACGCTGGCGTCACGAAAGCACATGCTGTCAGCAACCTGCAGAGAAACGGTGGACAGAGAAAAACAGAGAGGGTTTATCTTTTAGTTTTTGATCATTTCAACTCTTCCATCAACATCTTTCCCAGTATCAATGCTACTACTATGACAAGTGTTGGAGAGTTTCCCATGTCAGGGTTTTATTATAACAACTTAAGGATTTTTGACGGATAAAATGCAAGACTTAAATGTTTAGAATCAGAGTCAGAATAGATAAATGAAGATAAATAAGTAAAAGATCGACAAATATGTCTATCAACACAAGTTAAAGTAAGAATACAAAGATTGATTAATGGAAAATTAAAGATATATATAATTACATAAGAAGGTAAAATACGACATTTGACTACAATATATAATATGTTTACTACATATTTACTACATACTGTTCAAACGCGTTTGCACCTGTTGGCCACCATATCACAGGGGATTCCAGTTTGTGTTATGTGTCGTGAGATTCTGCAGGATCAATATATTAAAGAACAAGTTCTATAAGCAGAGGGGGGAAGTAGTGGAGTGTAAATACTTTGTTACTTTTGTAAATACTTTGTTACTTTTGTTACTTAAGTACATGTTTCTGGTATCAGTACTTTACTCCACTACTTATTTTTCTGACCAATTTTTACTTTCTACTTCTTACATGTTGAACACAAATACCTGTACTTTCTACTTCTTACATGTTGAACACAAATACCTGTACTTTCTACTTCTTACATGTTGAACTCAAATACCTGTACTTTCTACTTCTTACATGTTGAACCCAATACCTGTACTTTCTACTTCTTACATGTTGAACCCAAATACCTGTACTTTCTACTTCTTACATGTTGAACACAAATACTTGTACTTTCTACTTCTTACATGTTGAACACAAATACTTGTACTTTCTACTTCTTACATGTTGAACACAAATACTTGTACTTTCTACTTCTTACATTTTGAACACAAATACCTGTACTTTCTACTTCTTACATGTTGAACTCAAATACCTGTACTTTCTACTTCTTACATGTTGAACACAAATACCTGTACTTTCTACTTCTTACATGTTGAACTCAAATACCTGTACTTTTACTTCTTACATGTTGAACACAAATACCTGTACTTTCTACTTCTTACATGTTGAACTCAAATACCTGTACTTTCTACTTCTTACATGTTGAACCCAAATACCTGTACTTTCTACTTCTTACATGTTGAACACAAATACCTGTACTTTCTACTTCTTACATGTTGAACTCAAATACCTGTACTTTCTACTTCTTACATGTTGAACACAAATACCTGTACTTTCTACTTCTTACATGTTGAACACAAATACCTGTACTTTCTACAAATACCTGTACTTTCTACTTCTTACATGTTGAACCCAAATACATGTACTTTCTACTTCTTACATGTTGAACTCAAATACCTGTACTTTCTACTTCTCAAATGTTGAACCCAAATGCCTGTACTTTCTACTTCTCACATGTTGAACCCAAATACCTGTACTTTCTACTTCTTACATGTTGAACACAAATACATGTACTTTCTACTTCTTACATGTTGAACCCAAATACCTGTACTTTCTACTTCTTACATGTTGAACCCAAATGCCTGTACTTTCTACTTCTCACATGTTGAACCCAAATACCTGTACTTTCTACTTCTTACATGTTGAACACAAATACATGTACTTTCTACTTCTTACATGTTGAACACAAATACCTGTACTTTCTACTTCTTACATGTTGAACACAAATACCTGTACTTTCTACTTCTTACATGTTGAACCCAAATACCTGTACTTTCTACTTCTTACATGTTGAACTCAAATACCTGTACTTTCTACTTCTTACATGTTGAACACAAATACTTGTACTTTCTACTTCTTACATTTTGAACCCAAATACCTGTACTTTCTACTTCTCACATGTTGAACACAAATACCTGTACTTTCTACTTCTTACATTTTGAACACAAATACCTGTACTTTCTACTTCTTACATGTTGAACACATATACCTGTACTTTCTACTTCTTACATGTTGAACACAAATACCTGTACTTTCTACTTCTTACATTTTGAACCCAAATACCTGTACTTTCTACTTCTTACATGTTGAACACAAATACCTGTACTTTCTACTTCTTACATTTTGAACACAAATACCTGTACTTTCTACTTCTTACATGTTGAACACATATACCTGTACTTTCTACTTCTTACATGTTGAACACAAATACCTGTACTTTTCTACTTCTTACATGTTGAACCCAAATACCTGTACTTTCTACTTCTTACATGTTGAACTCAAATACCTGTACTTTCTACTTCTTACATGTTGAACACAAATACTTGTACTTTCTACTTCTTACATTTTGAACCCAAATACCTGTACTTTCTACTTCTCACATGTTGAACACAAATACCTGTACTTTCTACTTCTTACATTTTGAACACAAATACCTGTACTTTCTACTTCTTACATGTTGAACACATATACCTGTACTTTCTACTTCTTACATGTTGAACACAAATACCTGTACTTTCTACTTCTTACATTTTGAACCCAAATACCTGTACTTTCTACTTCTTACACGTTGAACTCAAATACCTGTACTTTCTACTTCTTACATGTTGAACACAAATACCTGTACTTTCTACTTCTTACATGTTGAACTCAAATACCTGTACTTTTACTTCTTACATGTTGAACACAAATACCTGTACTTTCTACTTCTTACATGTTGAACCCAAATACCTGTAATTTAATTCTTACATGTTGAACACAAATACCTGTACTTTCTACTTCTTACATTTTGAACCCAAATACCTGTACTTTCTACTTCTTACATGTTGAACACAAATACCTGTACTTTCTACTTCTTACATGTTGAACTCAAATACCTGTACTTTTACTTCTTACATGTTGAACACAAATACCTGTACTTTCTACTTCTTACATGTTGAACCCAAATACCTGTAATTTAATTCTTACATGTTGAACTCAAATACCTGTAATTTAATTCTTACATGTTGAACACAAATACCTGTACTTTCTACTTCTTACATGTTGAACACAAATACCTGTACTTTCTACTTCTTACATGTTGAACTCAAATACCTGTACTTTTACTTCTTACATGTTGAACACAAATACCTGTACTTTCTACTTCTTACATGTTGAACCCAAATACCTGTAATTTAATTCTTACATGTTGAACTCAAATACCTGTAATTTAATTCTTACATGTTGAACACAAATACCTGTACTTTCTACTTCTTACATGTTGAACTCAAATACCTGTACTTTTACTTCTTACATGTTGAACACAAATACCTGTACTTTCTACTTCTTACATGTTGAACTCAAATACCTGTACTTTCTACTTCTTACATGTTGAACCCAAATACCTGTACTTTCTACTTCTTACATGTTGAACACAAATACTTGTACTTTCTACTTCTTACACTTTGAACACAAATACCTGTACTTTCTACTTCTTACACTTTGAACACAAATACCTGTACTTTCTACTTCTTACATGTTGAACTCAAATACCTGTACTTTCTACTTCTTACATGTTGAACACAAATACTTGTACTTTCTACTTCTTACACTTTGAACACAAATACCTGTACTTTCTACTTCTTACATGTTGAACCCAAATACTTGTACTTTCTACTTCTTACATTTTGAACACAAATACCTGTACTTTCTACTTCTTACAATTTGAACACAAATACCTGTACTTTCTACTTCTTACAATTTGAACACAAATACCTGTATTT